CAGACGTGTGCTCTTCCGATCTCCCCAAAACCCCAAAACCCCAAAACCCCGAGATTAATAGATATTTTGAACAGTAGGTAAGTAAAGAAAATTAGTAAAATATAGTTATAAATCAAGATTAGTGGAAATGGACCAAAATGTTATGAATAACACGAGAAGTCTTCTCAATAAATTCAAAACAGGCCGCAATGAGTAAATATTTATTCTTACACTATAAAATTATTTTAGGCTTTAAAGAGCTGATGGCTAAACCAAAGATCGAGTAGAAGTTTGGAGAAAGAACTTACACGGTTTAACAGATGACTTAGCTAAATAGGTAAGTTTGATAAAATTTTCAAGCGGGTTGTTAATACTGTCTGGTTTTTTAGGCGAAACTACTAGATGAGCTTGACAACGGTGGGACTAAGTCAGCAGAAGGTGGAAATGAACTTAAAAAAGATTTCTTTGATCACTTAGTATCCTAAATCTCAAAAGAAATTCAAGAACTGATTGGTATTTGCAAAATTGTTATGTCCCTTCCGTAACAGTATTAAAACAAACAAAAGAAAGAGAGTAAAGAAGATTTTCCCTAAAAATATTAACTTAAAAATAGACATTGAGAACTAATGGAGAATTCTAACTGATCAGATGAAGAACGAGGTTACTAAGGTGCTCGGACTTGCTCAAGACCCTAGTAATAAAACTAACTTTTAATTATTTTTAGACTCTGATCACATGGCTCTAATCTCTAAACTTTTGAATCTTAAAGATCACTTACAAAGATAAATCTTTAGTGGAATTCTATATCGCAAGCTTGTAGTTTGGATGGATCTCAATATCTAGTCTGATGAATTTGTGCATTCAAGTAAATACACCTAGTTTTTTAATAATTTTCAGAGGTTGTTGAAGTTAACAACATGATAAACGACTTCAAGGAACAAATGCATTACATTCCCTCCAAGCTTTTTTATTCCGAAGTAGATCTTAGTAGTCCCGGTAACTACTCAATTAATTTCGATGGGAATTAAGATTCTGTTGCCAACCTAGAAGCTCTTTGCGAAGCTTTTATTGAAATGGAGAATCTTATCAAGAAAAATTTCAAGTTATCATCAGAAAAGCTGCTTAAATTTACAGATAGCAATCCTGTCCAACTTACTCTGAGAGAGGAATTAGAAATCGTGTATAAGTAGAAAAATCTATTGGAGGATGAGAATCAAAACCTCAAATTATCTCTTATTGCTAATAGAGAAAATGATTCTAAGAATCTTCTAGAGTTGCATCAGTCTGTTGAAAAGCTTAAGAATGAACTTCAGATTTAACAATTGCTTCATGAGGAAAAAGTCAGAACGATTAAAAATCAAGAGGCTTTCTAAATCAAGCTCAAACATCAATTAGTACTACTTTCTTGTTTGTTATTAATATCTACTAGAAAACTTCAGATGATGAAAGAAACAGACTCAAGACATGGTATATTCCAAGATTGAAGGAGACAAGAAAATATCAAAAGGAATTAGCAGATGAGCTTGAGAAAATCAAGCAAGATGCTGAGCTCCTTCCATCTATGTTTAGAGCTGAGGCAGTATTTAGAAATTAGTGCAAAAAAGAAAAAGATGAAGCTGAGGATGTTATGAGAGTATTCACTTAATACATTAATTCATTTATAGGAAGCAGTAAGAAAGTATCAGGCTTTACAAAAAGAAAGAGATGATTTAAAACATGAACTGGAAAGAAAAGAACGACTTAGTTTACAAGCTATTGCAGCTAGATCAAATATGAAGACTCATCTTGATCAGGCAAGTTAAAGTCTTAAAGATTCTGAGAAAGAAAATCGTTCATTAGTGCAGAAATTGAAAGATGCTGAAGAAGATGTGAACTATTATAAGAAAAAGCATGATGAAATGTTCTAATCAGTAAGTGCTTTGAATAAGAGAATAGAGGAGCTAGAATAACACAAAATTCATCTGCTTGATAAACTTAAGTCTCAGGGAGACAAAGGAGGACTCGAATATATCGTCAAGACTTAAAAACTTGAGAATATCAAGGGCAAAGAGCTGCAAGATAGAGTCTAAGTGGAGGACTACAGACCTGAACTCAATAGAAGTAAAAACCAAAGTGAATCAAACAATCAGTTTGAATGATGATTCAAAATTAGCATGCTCTGAAGTCTTATGCTAATAATATAACTAAAGATAAATTTACATTAGGAATAGCTTAAAAATATCCATACCCTACTTAAATATGGTCCATGGGGTTTTGGGGTTTTGGGG